AAGCCAACAGTCAAGTTTACGAATACTTAATGTTTAGTTGTTTCACTGAATTTTTGCAATTAACTTATAACTCAAAGCAAATTAAGATTTAAGTTACAACTATGTACGTCAAATTTATTTATACTGGGCAAGTAGCAAATATGTTTACACAACAGCAATATTACCGCAAATAATAGGCGAATATAATAAAATAAAACTTTAATTGCATAAATTACATAATTAATCAAGCAAATTGCACAATTCAATACAAAAATACGTTTGCAAAAATTAAAGTGCCGTAGATATTTACCAAGGCATTGGCAGGAAGAAACAGTAAATCAACAAAATGTAACTAAATATATGTATGTAGAAGAATGTAAATAACGAATGACCTAAATATGTCCATACGTAGAAACGAGTAAAATTGCAATATTTAAGAAAGTAATCCACATCGATAAGCAGATAAATATATGTATTTTCTTATGCGCTATCACAACGGAAACTTCTAAAATTTAAACTGTAACTGTGAATTCAAATTGGAGGAAGTAAATGTATGTACATACATATCTACACGCGTGGAGGTAAATCATACACGAAGGAAATCGAAATAAGTTTAATGGGTGGCATCAACAGGATTTTGATTTCGATGTTAGATTTTTCTTCGCCAACAAAGCAAATCTGAATTAACCTTATCAATTACTTATTTTTATCGCTCATTTGTTGTTGTAACAGCATACAAATTCCACAAGGAGTTCTTTCGGAAAGCTGCTAAAGCGATAGTCCGACTGAGGTGGGAAAGCAACGAGCACATTTTGTATTTTGTTAATATCCCAATATTCGTATTCGATAATCCTTCATGAATATTTTAAATCACATATGTACATATTTACCCTCACAATAACTAGCTATTTCAATAGCACGATGCATCGAACGAGAATTAGATAGTAATTTCATGCATGCAAATGATCAGAAATAAAATTAAATTTCTTATATTTGACTGGAATTCTCGTAAATCGTGATCTAAATTTGAATATGTCATACATTGAGTCATATCATTTTGATATCACGTTTACGATAAACACAAATTAACTAAATTGCATTGTAGTATTAAGAATAAGGCAAGAGAAAACGGTATTTCCTACGTTTGAATAAAGTTGTATGCTAAAATTTTAAGGACAATACAAAATGACACAAACTAAACAGTCCATAGTACGAATGCGTGTAACGTTTCGTTATATAACAAATAAGAAATTTAACAAACGAAGTCGCTGGAAAAATTAAGAAATATTCAATTAGACGAATTTACTATCGCAAAAAAAGCATATAATAGGAATAATAGAGTGTGCTCCCAGCCCTTCGACAGACAATGTTTGACCACGCCAGCCAAAGAGCCACGAACACGAAATGTAACCATTAGGATTTCCAAACTGAAAACGATCTTATACGCTGTGATCGTAAAATTCACGTAAATTACATTTTGTTTTATCTGTTTCGTCACTGTTGCCTGTTGTTGGTGCTGTTTTGCTTGCTGCTGTTGTTGATGATGTTGGTGGTGGTGGGTGGTAGTAGTGGTACTTGTGGAGGTGGATGATCTTACAATCGTTTTACGAAGTGCTATAGGAGGCCCTGTGAATCTACTTACAGCAGCTGGTACAGTTTGTAAACGAATTTGTGCCGGGTTGGTGGAGTTAGTGCCGCCACTGCCGCCAATGGTTGGTGTCACCGGGCCCGAGGTGGCCGTGCCAACGCGCAGCAATTGATATCCATTTTCGGTTTTCAAAATGAGTGCAGGCGTTTGTCCAGGTGCTAGTGTGCTGAGTGTTATCTACGAATGGACAAATATATTAAAGAGGGTTATTAAACTATAGGATTCAGGAAATGATTCTCTACGTAAAATATATTAGTGCATACAGTCAGTCAATAAAGTTTAGGTA